GTCGTCCCGAAGCGCGCGTTGTGGGTGTGCTCGCCCGCCCACGCCAGCACCTGCGGGTCGAGGCGCAGATCTGTTATATGTGTATATGTGTATGAATACACACACACACATATAAATACACACACACACACATATACACATACATATATATGTGTGTGTGTGTGTGTGAAGGTATGTATGTATATGTGCATTTATGTATATGTATTTTATATATATATATACGAATGTATGTGTGTGTGTGTATAAATGTGTGTATATACGTATGTATGAATGTGCCTGTAACTGTGCTTATCCATGTACGTTGCGTGTGTATGTGCGTGTAGGCGTACGTGTACATGTACTCGTATGTTTAGATTCACGCGTACGTATAAATGTACGTGCGCATGTATCTGTGTGTTCATCAAATCCAAATAGGATTCCATTCTACGCGCAGTGGCTTTCGCGCCTCGTCTCGCGGCTGCACAAAACACGTGAGCATCGAGAATGGCGCGTTTATTGCTGGCAAATGCATCCCAGAAAGAATGCGTGACTCAAAGGGAAACGAAGGCGGCGGCAGAAGAATCCCCGCGCCATTGCTGATGCTCATTTGTTTGGCATAAACGCGGGGTAAAGTGTGAGGACGTTTGTATGAAGGATCGAATCCGACCATAGATTACAGGAACAACTAGGTATGGATTCCTTTCCATACAGCATGCTTGTATCCGTGAATAATAGGTTGATTTCTATTTTTTAGCACTTTCAGATTTACATATCCATATGATGATGATGAAGCACCCATATGATTACATTTAAAAAAAAATCTAATTCAATGGATCACCAAGTTGGACAAACAAGAAAATATACTAAGAGACCTGGATATTAAATACATTAAATAAATGTATAGGTCAATAAATTTAAACACTCATCCTTTCTCTCTCTCTGTCTACCCATCGATCTGTCTATCTATCGATCTATCTATTGGTTGATCTATCTATCTATCCGTATCTCACACACATACATACACACATACCCCCCCCCCTCCAAGCACACACAAATTCAATCTCCTAGAACTCTCGTCCCGTCGACCTATTAGCCCCAGAAGGAACACGTACCTCAGCGCCGTTGGAATTGGCGATCGGGATGGCCAGCAGGTCGTGACTCTCCATGCCCTGTTGCTCGCCCCAGAAGGTGATGTAGGTCTCGTAGGCTCCGCGCGTCCATGGGTTGTTGTACCACGTTGTTCTGTATATATGTGTATATATATGTGCGTATATAAGATATGCACACACACACACACACACACACACACACACACACACACACACACACACACACACACACACACATATATATATATATATATATATATATATATATATATATATATATATATATATATAAAGTAAGGATTCAACTTAGAATTTAATTGAACTAGTAAAGAAAACCTTTTTATCTTCTATTGCTTATTGTTCAGATTTACACTGTGATATGCCAATTGTTTATTATTTGTGTATAGAATAAAAAGGAATTAGTTGAAAATCATTCTATGCCTGGTGTATCTTTGTCACACAACAAAGGAAAAAAGTTGAATCCACCCCATAAGCCTTATAATATTATTGTACTATATACTATTCATAAGAAAATTAGGTAAGTAATAAAAAGACATTTTGGGGATTACTTAAAATCCAAAACTCCGGGTGGTGGTGGCAGTACCAAGAGAGGGAGAGTAGGAGATAGCGAGAAGGGAGGGAGGGACCATTGCATCGCGGACCATTGCAATTGTCTCCCTAAGCATGTTCCTCTGTCTATCCTTGGACAGTGAATTATTGAAGAAATAAATAGAAATTGAAAATTCATGAAAATATTTGGAATAACAGACATTGCAATCTGATATATTTTGATCATATCTTACGGCCCTTGCTATCACACAACCCCCCCCCCCCACTGTTTACTCTTCTGTCTTTCAGAGAACGCCAGCACCAGCCCATCGGGGACGACGCTTAATAGCATATGCCGAGCGATCTGAGGAACAAGGATTACCTTCACACGTTTCCAACACTAGGGACTCCAGACCCAGTCTTGAAAGCTACAACACATTTGATCTCGGGTCACGAGCTGACCTGGACAGCTCCCTCTGGGAGTCTCTCATCCTGCTCTGCGCGCCTCTTGGGCTCCCCATGCCCACAACTGCACCGCACGAGACACAGCCCACACCACGCTACCTTCCACTTCTATCAATAAATGGCCAATGCAGAATTGTGTCTCCATAACCCACCAAAGCCAAGGGAAAACAAAACCCTGACAGAAAGAAATAAAGAGAAAGAGATAGATATATATAGAGAGAGAGTGAAAAAAAGAGAATTAAGAGAGAAAGATAGATAAATAGAGAAAGAGAGAATGAGTAACAGTGAGAGAGAGAGAATGAGTAACACTGAGTGAGAGATAGATAGAAAGAGAAAATGAGTAACAGTTAGATAAAGAGAGTTAAAAGAGTGAGGGAGAGAAAGAGGGGGGCGGATGGGAGAGAGAGTTATGTGAACGTATCGATGTATCGATTTCTTGATTTTATTTGACACCGATACCAATACAAAAGTATCGATCGATAAGTATCGCCGATACATACATATATATATATATATATATATATATATATATATATATATATATATATATATATATATATATATATATATATATATATATATATATATATATATATATATATATATATACATGTGTGCGTGTGTGCATAAGTTATGTAAAAACATAAAATCCGTCCTTTTATCTCACCTGTGGAAGAAAATGGGTTTTGGGACCTCTGTGCGCGTGAGTCTCCTGAGGAAGTACATCATGTGTTCTAGAACCGTCTCTTCGGGCAGGTTTTCCATCGTGACGGCGTCTTTTCCCACGAGGAACACCTGTAGGACGTTGGGCGCTCGGTGTGGGCTCTCTATGTTCACGATGTCGTAGAGCCACAGCTGCGAGGCCACAGGCAAGGATTTATATACATTTATTTTGTCTTGACCTTCTACGTAGATTTACCGAAGAGCGACGCGACATTGACTGTACAATTATCATCGTTTACAAAATAAGTGTTTCTGTCTCTCTCTCTATATATATATATATATATATATATATATATATATATATATATATATATATATATATATATATAAACAGTGCCAAGAGAAGTAGGATGCCGCTCAATCTTAGATTTTCGTCAAAACGTTATACTCATTTTTCCATGCCAGAAAAAGAGGAAAACCATCTAACAATGGAGAATAACATCATCATAATAATAAAAAGGGGCCTACCGACCCTTAAGCACACTCGAAAGGGTAACAAGGAGGACCGACTCACCCTGTCCTGAGGAATGTCCCTGGAGGTCCAGATGATGTCGAGGCTGAGAGGTTTGTCGCCCCACCACGGGGTCTCCCAACCGAGCTGGACCTTGTCGGCGATGCCCAAGTCAGCGTACTGTGGGAGATATGAGGATGATGAGGATGCTTGAGTGAGATAAAGAAGGGCGAGTGAGGTGAGGATATGTACAATGTCATCATAAGACACTTATGCTGTCATGTTAAAGGGTTTTTATGATAATTTTAACCCCCTTTCTCTCTCACACTCTCTTCTCGGTGCCTTCGTTCCTCATTCACCTTTTCTATCTTTCCTTCCTTCTCTTTTTCCCCTTTTCCTCCCCTTCCCCTCTCGCTTCCCCCTTCTCCCTCCCCTCTCGCTTCCTCCCTTCTCTCTATCCCCCCTCACTCTCCCTTCCCCCACTCACTCCTAGATATTTAGTAAAGGACTTTGGCAGCGGCGGCTCGAAGATCTTGGTGTGTCTCTCCTTTAGGTGGCCGAAGGAGAAGGTGACGACGGCGTGGGCGGCGAGGTAGGAGTCGCCCTTCCTCGTCACCACAAGGACCCGGTCGTCCTTCTCGTCCCACAGGATCCGGCACACTGGGCTGCTGAGCTTGACGTTGGTGGCTGGAGGCTAGCCTGGGGAGGCGCGGGGAGACGGAAGGCGCAGTGGTGAGCAGAGACAGGACTCGTAAGGAGCGAACACGGTGCGTTGAAAGTAAACAGAAAGTTGACAGCCAACACGGTCAGTCAATATCAAACGCGATTGGTAATTCGTAAAGCATAGTTAGCAAGGAAACAGTACGTACGACTGACAAAAAGAAGCGAATTGTGTTCAACAGCAGAACAGCGTTAATGAATAACTGAAAGTGACTAAAGTTTAGAGGCAATACACAAACTACACTTAACCAAACGCGATTTCCAGCAGTAAGGTGAATATTTCATAAACAATAAAAAAAGACAACACACACTACACTATACACAATAAAAACACTATATCCCACCCCAACAATTACATTATAATAATGGACGATCGCATCGAAGCCATTCTTCCACTGGTGATTGGGACCGAACTCCGGGTACCTGTCACGCACACGGGATCCGATGTGGAGCCAGTCCTCGGTCCCCTCCTCGCCGTTCGCCGTCTAGGGGAGGGAGCATTGGCCAAGGCGCAGGGTATATATATATATATATATATATATATATATATATATATATATATATATATATATATATATAAATGTATATATATATATATATATATATATATATATATATATATATATATATATATATATAATATATATATATATATAAACTAGCCACAATGAGAATTGAGAATAAGCTCTTCTCGAGTTCCTCATCAGACAAAAAACCGAAATGTGTGTGTGTGCGTACATATATACACATGTTTGTACTCCATTCCGTATATACATCACAAAATCATTATACACCATATAAACACCTCATATCTCCCCCCGCCTCATGCTCATATACAGAACCAACTTCCATCCTTCACTCCGCAGCCGGGCCACTCCGGAGGAAGGCCCGGGCGAAGCAGGACCGCAAATCTAACTGAACTGAACTTCGCTCCGCCAACGCAGAAGGGAGCCTCAGTACCTGTTCCATGTGATGGAGTAAGCCTCTCCTGAGGCCAGCGTTCTTCATCGGCTCATACTTCTGGTGAAATCTTTAAAAATAGTTAATGTCTGGGTTTCAAAGATGTCTGAGTATGAGTACCAGTAAATATATATATTTATATATATACACATATATATATATATATATATATATATATATATATATATATATATATATATATATATATATATATATGTATATATGTATATATATATATATATATATATATATATATATATATATTATATATATATATATATATATATATATAATTCCATTTTCAAAATATTTTTTTTCAATTTTACATTATCTACTTTATTTTGATTATGCTTAGTATTCAGTATTGTTTTCTGCTACAGAAAATGAACGTGTAGATTGAGGAAAAATTATATATTAATTACGAAAAATCGCAGGTATATTATCTATCTTACGCTGTTCTTGATTATTATCATGAATTCATTAGATTTTACTTCTCATGCAAAATAACGCATTACTTTTCTAAAAGATACTGATCCAAAAATAGCAACATTTATACAGAGAAATGAAAGAACAAAAAATAACAAATGAAAAAATAAAAATAACACTAATTCCTAAGCTTACCTGTTCAGATAACACAGGCCGTAAGGGAGGTCATAGTAGGGCAGGAGGCCATGCTCTGACCTCTCGCAGATGTCCCTCATTTCCTCTAAAACGTCGCCGTAGGATTCGTTGACCGGAGCGCCATCCTGGGTCACTATGCGCCACTCTGGAGGTTCGAGATGGCGTCACTACGTCTTGGTTTCGCTTGGGATTCAAAGCGGGGTAAAAAGTGCTTTGCCTTGATCGTTAGGTTATATTAGGTGATGCAATAGTGACACCTCTCTAATGGCTTTTATTTTTTCAACTTTTATATCTTTGGATTTTTTATTTTATTATTTCCTGTATATTGTTTGACTCTTAGCATTGGTTTGCACTTGATTTTCTAATCATATCTTCTTCAGCTCTCATTCTTAGCGATCTTTTATAAATCTAGACAAAGCAAAATTTCAAATAAACCACATTCAGCATGTGAATCTACATACTAAAAACGGAGAAAATGATAGATATAGGGCCGTACCATAAAGGTTTCGGGAAAGGGCAGGCGATCGTCTGGCGAAGCATCGTCCGGCGATCGCCTGCCCTTTCCGAGCTTACCACGAAACAACACTTTCGTCAGGCGATCCTTCGCCCGTGTTTCCGTTAGATAGAACATCGCTAACTTTGAACGGCGCGGGAAATTTGAATTATTTTACCTTGACGCACACATCACCATAATCAGAAATAAAGAAAGCCTGTCCACAAGATACTGAGGGAACCTATCTAAAGGCAAAAAATCGCAAATTAAAATATCCTGTGCAACTGAACAATATGACAGACAAAATGGATTTAGAAATAAATAAATTAAAGTAAACTGAAACAGAAAAGCTACCGACTTTTTTATGCATTGCGATATAATGTCTCATTCTAGCTACACTAGGTGTTAGCTACTCGTGATGATTTCTGGATGAATATTTGAAATCTTATTTGATATAAAACATAATTAATATGACATATATACCTTCAAGTTCTATATAGGATTACACCATTATATATTCACTTCTTTGAAAAGGCAATAGCAGGGTCATCCATGTTCTTTAGACATACTTCAGTTAGGTGGAAATGTAATTGCCATAAAACGGAATTTTGTTAGTGTGATAAAGGAAACAGTATTATTATTTCATTGTTTATTGCTCTGAAGTTGCTGTGACACGTCAAAATTGTCAGCAATTGTCAGCTGCCACTTATCAAGAGCTGCACATAGGGTGGTACTAGTGATCCTGAAGAGAAACGCTACATATTGTTATTCACAAGCAAAACTGTATTCAAGTAATTATGAACTTTTGTATCAAAATAATATCATATTATTCTCCAAAAAATATAGGTAGCCTAGATTACCTGGAAAGGGGATGAAATGCATTTTTGCAAAATTATTGGGTATTCATTATATATATACTAATTAGGACGATAAATTTCGTTCATATCAAGTAAATAACAAATCTTTGTGAATTCTATTGATCCATTAAAACCGTCCTCGACAGTCATGTGTTGTCAAGCGATCGCAAATCTTCAATACATGAGTTGCAAGACAGCAAGCCTAATAGACAGTGAGAAGTTTGTTGGCCTTTGCCGGAGGCGCGGAGGCCTGGAGTCGCTTATGCGAGTTTGGTGGCACAAGTGATATCTTAACTAAGGAGCAGAATTATTCATTCTAAATGGGGAAAACATGTTTCGTCACTTTCAAAAATCTTTCCTGATATGAAAACTATAGCTGTCAATATTCATTTGACCTAATATATGTGTTTATTTTGGCGAGGAGAGACAGCGTTCTTGACACCTCACCCGTCCAGAAATCAGCAAAGTATGGGTAAATACTTCTAAATATGGAATACTTATAAGATCATTTATGACTTTATGATTATTTGCGATCCAAAACATACATATGCAGTTTTCTTGGGTTTTCAAGTTAATAATAATGCATTTAGTTTAGTTCTACTGAGAGATACTTACGGAAGTGGCGATGAAAGAGAAGGGTATAGCTGGCTTTCATAGTCGGGCGATGTTCCAATACTTTGTCTTCCGCGAACGCCTGGCGAAGCTGAAAGTGGTGTTTTGTGGTACGAAAATTCGACCCTTTAGCGGCTGGCAACGCCAGGCGAAGGTAAAATAGGGTCTTATGGTACCGACTACGGGAACGCCTGGCGAAGAGTCGGGCATTGCCTGACTCTTGTATTTTATAGTACGGCCCTAAGAGAAAACAAAACTATACAAAAGTCGCAATCGCCTATACAAAATGACTCAGAAAAAGCAAAAACAAAAACAAAAGGAAAACAGACGAACCAAAGTGGTCGTCCGGCAGAAGAGGATCCGCGGCCCCGATCTCCCGTGCGATGCGGTACACAGGGTTCCGCCAGCCTCCGTGAATCCACTCGGCGCCCTCCTCGACCCTGATGGAGCCTTGGATTGCATGAGGAGGGGGGAAGAGAGGCTTATGAGCGGGTGGAGGGCGTAGTGGGCGGGGCGGGTGGAAGAAGGTGGATCTGATGTATTTCTAACAAAGATATATTCGAAACTGGTAAAATACAGCTCTTGTATTGTGAAGATATTCATTCTCATTCAAACCTTTTCACACACACACACACACACACACACACACACACACACACACACACACACACACATATATATATTATATATATATATATATTATATATATATATATATATATGTATATATGTGTGTGTGTCTGTGTGTGTGTATATAAATGTATACATATATACATACATACATTCATACATACATATATAGATATATATATATACATACATATACACATATATACACACGCATGTATGTATACATGTAGACTCTTTCCCTCCCCCTCCTCCCCCCGCCCCCTTCCCATGGCACTCGAGTCCGCCCACCTTCCCTGACGGTGCGCACGCGGCCCCCCAGGTGATCCTGCGCCTCCAGGAGAACGTAGTCGTTGTAGCCGTAGTCCGAGAGGGTCTTGGCTGCAGCCAGGCCGGCCAGACCTCCGCCCACGATCACGACGCCCACGCGCCTAGCCTGGGCGTACCTGTGGGAAGAGAATGGGTTACGAAGAGGAGGGAGGAGGAGGGAGGGAGGCAGGGAGACAGAGGGAGGGAGGAGGGAGGACAGAGGGAGGGAGGGAAGGGAGGACAGAGGGGGGAGGGAGGGAGGACGGAAGGGAGAGAAGGAGGGAGGGACGGAGGGAGGGAGAGGAAGGGACAGAGGGAGAGAGGTAGGGAGGGAAGAAGGAGGAGGGAAGGAGGGAAGGGAGGACAGAGGGAGGGAGGGAGGAGGGACAGAGGGAGGAAGGGAGGACAGAGGGAGGGAGGAAGGGAGGACAGAGGGAGAGAGGAGGAGGGAGAAGGGAGGACAGAGGAGGGAGGGAAGAGAGGACAGAGGGAGGGAGGGAAGGAGGAGGGAGGGAGGGAAGGGAGGACAGGAGGGAGGGAAGGGAGCACAGAGGGAGGGAGGGAAGGGAGGACAGAGGGAGGGAGGAAGGAGGACAGAGAGAAGGAGGGAAGGGAGGCCAGAGGGAGGGAGGAAGGGGACAGAGGGAGGGAGGGAGGGGAGAGAGGGAGGGGGGAAGGAGGAAAGAGGGAGGGAGGGAAGGGAGGACAGAGGGATGGAGGGAAGTGGAGAGAGAGGGAGGGAGGGAAGGGGGGGGAGGGAGGGAAGGAAGGAGAGAGAGGGAGGGAGGGAAGGAAGGAGAGAGAGGGAGGGAGGGAAGGAAGGAGGGAGGGAGGGAAGGAAGGGAGGACAAAGGGATGGGGAGGGAGAGGAGGGAAGGGAGGGGGAGGGAAGGGGAGGGAGGGAAGGGAGGAATAGGAGGGAGGGGAGGACATAGGGAGGGAGGAAGGGAGGAAAGAGGGAGGGAGGGAAGGGAGGACAGGAGGGAGGGAGGAAGGGAGGAGGGAAGGGAGGAGAGAGGGAGGGAGGGAAGGGAGGAAAGAGGGAGGGGGGAGGGAAAGGGAGGACAGAGGAGGGAGGGAAGGAGGGAAAGAGGGAGGGAAGGGAGGAAAGAGGGAGGGAAGGAGGAAAGGGGAGGAGGGAAAGAGGAGAGAGGGAGGTGAAGGATTAGAGGGAGGGAGGGAAGGAGGGAGGGAGGGAGGGAAGGGAGGAAAGAGGGAGGGAGGGAAGGGAGGAAGGGAGGACAGGAGGGAGGGAGGGACGGGAGGAAAGAGGGAGGAAGGGAAGGGAGGGAGGGAGGGAGGGAAGGAGGAGAGAGGGAGGGAGGGAAGGGGAGAGGAGGAGGGAAGGGAGGAAAGAGGGAGGGAGGAGGGGGAGAGAAGGAGGGGGGAAGGAAGAAGAGGAAGGAGAAGAAGGAGGGAGAGGGAGAGGGAGGAGGGAGGAAGAGGAGGAGAGGGAAGGGAGGGAGGGAGGGAGGGATGGAGGGAGAGAGACAGATAGATAGGTAGAGAGAGTGGCGGAGAAAAGG